GGGGCAAAGCTTAGGTTCGAGGCCATCGCTCTTAGATTGGAGGCCATCGCTAGTAGGTAATTGAAAAGTTGGACAAAGCATTCGTGCAAGAAGTCTTTCTGTCGGATGAATCCGAGTTGCACGCACTTCGGCCAGGCCAGACGACCTTTTCAACAAGAAGCTCACGACTTTCAGTCAAGGGCTGTCCATTGCGCGGAGGAACAACAAAGCTGACTACTGATGGAAAAAAGAGCGGCCGAGACGGAAGAAAGAGCGGCCGAGAAGAGAATGAAGCCTTTACACATTTGCAGCAGATTGAGGGGAAAACGGCTGTAGTTGTGACTCGATATACTTGGAGCTTGGGAAATCCTCCCTGTTCTGGGCACCTGACATCAACTAAAAACACTCAACTCCTCCTATTGCGTGGTTTTGGGGGCTCCAGCAATGATACTGCGAGTTGGGTATTGACACTTGGGTTTTTGTGGCTTAAGTATTGAGTTTGACCTCCGGCTTACTGCTGCGACTGAACTACTTAATGATTTGTAAGTCGGACGTTTCTCTTATAAGCTTCTGCTGACAACGTTTCTAGGACCCATGAAAGGTGAGATGACAACAAAACCGCCTCAATATACCGTGCACGATTTGTTCTGGGCAGAACTATCCGCAATTCATCGTTTTTGACTGTTGTCTTGCTAGGTTGGAGGCCATCGCTGGTAGTTTCCTTGCTACAATTGTGTGTAGCTCGCAGGTTCAGTTTCAAACATCACGTGGCTGCCGTGTGTTTCTCCCTCAGTCCTTCGGTCCGCAGCGGGGATCAAGTGGGGCGTCCGGCCGCGCCCCCCCGGAGCCCATGGCGGATGTTAGATGCGGCCATGGGCCGCTCGGAGTTCGTCACAGGATGTCTTCCTCCGCCCTAGTAGCGTCCGATCGCTCCTAGTAGCGATGCCAGGAGCCCCTAGTAGCTTCTTGTCACTAGTAGTAAGGCCCTTGTTTCTAGTAGCAAAAGGAACCTAACAGGAATGGCCTCCAATCTAGTAGCGATGGCCTCCGACCTAAAACATGTTCAATCTATATAACCAAGCTGTCGACTGTTGCTGTTCTGTATGGTGAGTAGCCCTACAGTCCTGGTGAACCCAATAAAGCCTTGACGATCTCTTCCTTGCACATGCATGTGTGAATAGCAATCACAGCCATGTTCGTCCAAAAGGTGGGTGAATTCCTGTTTGTTTTCTTTGTGTTCTCGCTCCTGTTTGGTTCATCCTAGTCGGATCAAATGTCCTCGTTCGATCCGAATGTCCACAAGCTCTTGGTCACAAGATTGAGGCCCACCAGCTCTCACTTGCAGCGCTCACGCGATGTGCAGGCTTTATGGGACCCAAATCATAGCTGAACAATTGCAGTGGCATGCTGCCAAAACCTTGAGACAAGCTAACACTGGGGTGTTTCTCCATGATTCATGTGATTTAATGTGTGTATGCTAGCATCCAGATGGCCGTTGGACCCCTTGGCTACGTTTGGATCACAATTGACAAATTTGACACGAGATCTGACAAGATGAAACTCCAGCGATTTCGACAGGGAGCAGCTCCAGCGGAGGCAAGTTCCTGCCTGATGCCCAGATGTAGATAATCTTATAAGGAGAGGGTTCCTTTTCGGGCAGAGGACTTGTTGCAAATCAAGGATGAACAGACCAAGAGGTATCCAGAACAACGGCTAAAGTGACGAGTTGTTTGTGAAAGTACTTTATCCAAGTCCGTGATTTGTTGGAGGCCATCGCTTCTAGGTTGGAGGCTCCTGTTTTCTGTTAGGTTCCTTTTGCTACTAGTAACAAGGGCATCGCTACCAGAAACAAGGGCCTTACTACTAGTGACAAGAAGCTACTAGGGGCTCCTGGCATCGCTACTAGGAGCGATCGGACGCTACTAGAGTTTTTTCCTTTCGCTTCATCCGACCTTTGCTGAAGATGTTCTCCAAAGGCCACGTGGTGGGCCGCAGCCCCTTCTGGCCGATCGCCTGGGCGCAGAGGCGAAGAAGCTTTCACAGCCAGTTTTCATGGTCTGTGTTCCCGTGTTCCCGTGCCGTTCATCGTTCTGTCTACCAGAGTCTACCAGAAGCTTTCCTGAAAAACCCGACATTCTTAGGAACAAGTGCACCGCTACTAGTAACAAGGGCCTTACTAGTAGTAACAAGAAGCTACTAGTAACAAGTGCATCGCTTGTAGTAACAAGGGCCTTACTACTAGTAACAAGAAGCTACTAGGAACAAGTGCATCGCTATTAGTAAAGGTTACTTCAGTCCAAGACCCGTGAGCATAGCAGTAAGGGTCGGAAGCCTAATGTTCAGGCGTTCTTCCAAACCGGCTTGCTTTGATCCTGTGGCTTCTCTCCCAAAATCAGCGCATGCAGCCATTTCTGTTTCAAGAATTGAATCTGACAACATCTAGCTTCTAGTAACAAGTGCCTTACTAGTAGTAACAAGAAGCTAGTAGAAACAAGTGCCACGCTACTAGGAACAGGTGCCTTACTAGTAGTAACAATAAGAATTTAATTAGCGTCCTACCACCCCCCCGCTAGATTCCTTTGCTAGTAGTAACAAGTGCCTTACTAGTAGTAACAAGTGCCACGCTTGTAGATTCCTTTAAAATCAAATTTAATTCTAATAGCTTTTTGTTACTACTAGTAATGTTACTACTAGCGTGGCACCTGTTACAGGTTTTTGTATTTTCTATTTGTCATCGGTGTCTCAGTATGTCGTGGAGTTCATGGTGTGTTTTAGACTTTTGAGACAAAGCCGCGACATCTAGAGAAATCCATAGTGGAAACCAAAAAAAGAAAAGTCTTTGTGTTTGCCTTTTCTTATCTGTTCTTTTCTTTTCCTTCTTTTTGTCTTTCTTTCTTTTTTAGTTTCTGTCCCTCTCCTACTGTTATCTTGTCAAATTCTCTGCACGGAAATGACAGGGATGCCAAATCACCATTCCACCAAACGCCATGCGCAGCAGGCCAGCACGTCCGATCCTTCCGAGGCGGACATGTACGGACTGGGATCTGGGACCAGGGGGGCTCTTCAGGCAATGGATTGGAGGCCATCTCCACTTAGGTTGGAGGCCATTGCTATCATTTAATAGCCCGCTTTGACTTAGCTAAGTAGGCGGCTACTTAGTTAAGTATGGGCTAGGTAACATAGCTGCTAAGTAGGCCGCTACTAGCTACTGGACGCAGGATAGCTCACGATTCCTCAGGCACTATTCATCTTGTTCCTCGATGTTTGGGGAATTTTGACTTGTGCTCACTTTGTTTAGCTGCAGTCACTGCATGTGCAAACATGTGTTGAAATCGAGTTGCTTAAGAGACCAAGGGTAGATAGAATCAGATGGAAGCCCCAAGGTGTGGCATTTGACACGTGGCAGGTGCTGCCCAAAGACAAGCGCGAAGACCTGGTCCGCAAAGGCGCACAGTGCCATATCGGTGACTAGAATAGCTTCTTGTTCCTAGTAGCGATGCACCTGTTACTAGTAGCTTCTTGTTACTACTAGTAAGGCACTTGTTACTAGAACGATGCACTTGTTCCTAGTAGCTTCTTGTTCCTAGTAGCGTTCTTGCTCCTAGTAGTAAGGCCAGGAGCCCCTAGTAGCGTCCTTTGCTCCAAGTAGCAATGCCCTTTGTTACTAGTAGCTTCTTGTTCCTACGTAAGTCTGAAAAATAAGAGATGGAAGATAACTACTCATTGTCTGATGAAGATGAATAGTGTTCACAATCCGACTGTAGTGCAGGGCAAGGTTATGGCAACTGCTCTACCAAACCCCATGTTGCCCACACTTTGACACCGTACTTTCCCGGCAAACTCGGGTAGGCGCTGTTTCGGATCATGCGATGCGGCGCAATGCGGTCAACAGGTGGTGCGGATGCGTTGCGGCCCAGAGAACGCCCGGGAGACCTGGCGGAGTTCCAACATCCCACCGGACCGTGAGTTGTGCTTATGGCGGCAGAAAGCCTTAGGTCCACAGGTGAGAGTCTCATCGCAGTGAAATACTAGCAGCGATGCACTTGTTCCTAGTAGCTTCTTGTTACTACTAGTAAGGCACTTGTTACTAGTAGCGATGCACTTGTTCCTAGTAGCTTCTTGTTACTACTAGTAAGGCC